AGAGACCTGGCACTCAGAGGGGGATTTATTCATTGGGAGAAATAAAAGTGATGTTTCTTCTTTTTATATTGGATGGTTCCTTTGTTCTTATCCCCCTGAAGATACATATATATATAAAAATATACATAATGCATATTAAATATATGCAATATGTATATTATTTGCTGCTGTAAGCAGAGAAAACTCACAGCATATGTTTGCTCAAATTTTATATTTTCTTCACTGAGGATTACTGAAGAGACAGTTTATATACAGGAAAAGCAGAAACAGAAAAGCATCAATTCACAGTATATTATGTTTATTCTCTACAGAACATCTTTATATGCATTGGGTTTTTTCAGACACGGCTTAGCCTGTGTCTGTGCTAGGTGAGGGAGGCTGGTATTTGGGCACGCTGCTGTTGCAGATGATGTTACCTGATTTGCCCATGCACAGAGCTCTCTGAGCTCCAACTGCTCCACTGCCAATAGCCTGCTGGTGGACTCAGTCACCCCCTTCGGCAGAGGTGCCTTTCCAAGTATGCTGGGGCAGATAGGTTTGCCATGAAATGGCTAAAGTAATCGTTTTCATGATTTGTATCATACAGACTAGGGTAGGGTGTGGTTTTGAAGGCATTTGGCTTTCCTTTACTGCACTACAGTTTATTTGGCTGCAGCTTATCAAGTTATTTGTAAAGTTATTTGTTGCCTTGATGCAGGAATAAATACATTGCAGGTCTTTTATATTTACAAGAAAGAAAAATGTTTTATCTTGAGGAAGGTCTGGCAATGTCTGGCAAGCAGGAACACAGCACATCCAAAAAAGGTCAGCTGTACTTGTGGAATGTCATCTGTTTAACTTAAATACTCATACCACACTTATCTTCACTCTAAGTTGGATTATGCTATACAAAGTAATTTTTATCCCTCTAAATTCCATGTTCATTTGGTTTTTGGTGTTCTCGCTCTCTGTAAACATGCACGCACGTACTCACATGGACTCCCAGATACCATCAGCTGCTAATCAGTCTCGTGAGGGACCGAAACAGCCTGCAGATGCACAATTCAAACTATTTCAGCTGAGGGAATTAATTTACCCTCCTACTTTATGTCAAAGTGAAAATCCCATGAGCTGACATATTTTCATATATCACTCTTAAAAACTGTTTCATCAAAATTGGTCAGAATTTTAAGGCTGTTTTCCGGACACTAATTGTTTTAACAAACCCCCACGCTGCCAGTGGAAAACACACAAGTACAAAGGAGAACTCCAAATAAAAAAGCTGGAAGCAAAGAATTATTGCTTGTGACAAATAACTTCCAGGCTGCACATAGCTAACAGTTAAAATGTTATTCCAAGACTTAAAAGAAATAGTTTAAAAACTCTCCAGTGTCTGTAACAGGAAAACAAGTAAGAACAAGAACAAATGCAGCTAAGGCAGACAGCACTGTACAGTCCTTTTAACCACAGAAGAAAGCAAAGCGAGGAGAAACCTTTGGGATGGTAATGAAAACTCCTGCAGCTTTCAGCTTCAGCATTAACTATCTGACTCTGCTGAATTAATGAAGGAAAAGTGTTCTGGTGAGATTTGTGAATACACATTTCTTACAAGCGATTAAAATAATTGGTGAAAATAAAAATAAAATAAAAACATTAAATCATAAGAAGCTTGAATTACTCACCGTCTTGTTGTGCCAAAATAACTGAGGGTTGAAACACGGCAAGAATGAGCAAAGTTACTTTTTGCACAAAGCTCATCATGTCTAAATATTAGACATGAGACTCTCTGTGCAAAAATAAAAATGGGGGGGGGGAAGAAAAATCTATTCAAAATAGCAACATCGGTTGTTCCCTGCCCTTCCAGCACCGGGCCATGTACAGAACTCAGCCACAAGCATTCCCCAGCTTTGGCCTTAAATAGGAAAAAAATTGGCTTACTTTACTTTTCCACCCCCTTTACTGAAACATGAGAAGACGACCCATCCCCTAACAGTAAATGAATGATTAATATTTCTCTTGGCTTTACAGAAGAATAAAGTCAACTAAACAAGATACACAGCACATCTGGAACTTTTGTGTGCATACGAAATGCACACTGAGACTGCATATGAATAGTTAGTGTGTGCTGTAAGTGAGATATATGCATGTGAAAAAAGAAGTCCTACGGTAAAGCCTCTGTGGTAAAGCATTTTTTCATGTTAATTAGGAGTCAATGGGTACAGCCCAAAAAGGATTTTTAATTCTTAGTGCTCCCTAAGATAAAAGGTACGTACCTGATGTGGCTGCACAAACTGAAATAATCCCAGAGTGGAGGAGCAAACCTGGGTATTTCTGCTGATGAGCAGAGTTAATGAAAGGGAGGCCTGAAAATTGCAACACTTTGGTTCCAGTGCTTTTCTCACCATCTCTGCCTCACACCATGATTTTATGTGACCTGGGTAGAAAGCAAACATGAAAAAAAAATTGTGAAGGAAACAAGATCCCAAATCAGAAGCACCAAACTCCCAAACTAAAACTTTTCAAATAATTCAGTTTGATGCTGTCATTACAACACTTGAAAGGAATGCAGAACAAGTACCACCTTTTTCTTTACTGTTTGCTCCTCAAAGAAGGTATAGCAGACAAAAAAAAAAAAAAGAAATCTTGATACTACTAATGCCTTTTAAGCTAGTTCTTTCTTTATTCCATGCAAAACTTTACTGAGAATAAGATCAGAACACACAAACTTATTTTCCAAATAAGATGGCTTAAGCAGTTTTTGTTATAAATGTAATTTTGCTGAGAATGTAGCTTTAAGCACAAGTTTGGGAGACTCAAAAGTGATTGCAGAAAGCTGTCACAGTGTGCGTCTCTGCTAAAACAATGACCAAACTAATTGCTACTCTCAGTCGATTAATTTGATCTAGGTCATTAACTGCAGGAGTGCTCATTCATTTGTTCTTAAGTTTTGCTGAGATTACAGAGACCCAGGGAACCATCCCTCCTATCAATAATTCATTAATGTAATGAACTGTCAGCTCAAAAAAGGGACCCATATCTCTGTATGCATAACAAAATAAGAGCAGCTTGAGGTTACCTTTTAATCTGATAGGTATTGGGTCTCATTTCAAAACCTATTTATCTGAAATACATTTGCACTTAAACTGGAAGGTCCTCTTCTGCTGGGGTCACCTGAGGTGGAAGAGGTTGAAGCAAGTGTGAAGAGATCTTAAATAATTTGATGCCACTTTCAACATACCCTGAGGTCTCTTCTGGTATGAATGGCTTGATACGTTTCAAAGGAATTATGCACCACTTGTGCATGAATTAAATACCCCCGATTTTCCACATTGTCTGTGTTGGGATGGTGGAATTATTTCATACAGTTTTGGTTTTCATATCCAGTATCATATTATTTAACAGGTTAGGTTATTTGGTTTATAAACTTCAGGTAGCTACAATCAACAAACAGATAACCGCCTCCTGTTGAGCTATCCTAGAATGTAAGACAAAATGCTTCAAATTTTATGCACAGGCCTATAAGGTTTTCTTCTCTTTTGGAGTTATGCTCAGGACATAAATTAGAACCACAATATCTAATAATACCTGGATTGATTTGTTTGGCTCTCTTCAACAGAAATATACAAACAGACCAAACACTGGATCCAAACCATTCTCAGCTATGGAATGAGAATTAAACTAAATTAACCGTTTATGAAAATCACATGCAGATCAGTTTTTTATTGCCACTCTGTTTTCTGTATTAATGCCTCCACGTTTGTCACTGTAATTGTTTAATTTACATGAAACTTAATGAATGTTACATGGTAAGCATTCACATTTAAACAGCCAAGGAAAAAAAAAGAGAAATGTGGTCACGGTCTTTGACTTAAAGCCACTTTCATAATGAATTCTACAAATTTTTCAGCCTTTTTGACCACAATAAACATTTCTCTATGATACTGTCCTGGTTTCGGCTGGGATAGAGTTAAATTTCATCCTAGTGCTGTGTTTTGGATTTAGTATGAGAAACCACGACAATTTCTTAAGTTTATCCTTTCAAAAAAAGAGAACACCCTTGGTGACTCCCTTATTTTCACTAACACTTCCCTTCAATTTTTACAGAAAAACACTTGATTGTTTGAGTAAAATTTAAATTCTAAGAACAGTTCTGGATTTTTCACCTTGGATATTAAACTAGTCTCTAACTAGATTATGAACCCAGATTTATCCATGAGACCTACTATTTCCCATAGGCATTGGAGTATAAATCTGTGTGCTTGAATTTGTACAGAAATGAATCCTGAGGTTTCTGTATAGAAGCACAACCAATACCACTTAATGCTTATATCCTGTAAAAACCAAAATAACCTATGGACCTTATCTTCCTTGGGTTCTGCAGTATATTTGCTGTGGTTCAGCAAATAACAAATGGCAATGCTCAGCTACACTGGAATTTCTCATTAGTTCTACCTTCACATAACAGTGGTTGTAGAATTGAATTTATAATTCTAGTGTAAAACCACGAGGCAATTGCCATTTACCATCATAAGTCAATTCCTTTTGACTGGGCATTCACCATTTTGTTTTGTTTTAATTACCTGGCCTGAACAGACTGTGGCATAACAACTTTCCTTGAACATCCATGGACAATTCCTCTGCACAGAAACAGGCCCCCTAGAAACCGAGCTGTCTTGATTCTTGAGTCTTGCAGGCAGTTTTGGAGTATTTAGTAAGTAGCTCTTAGTTAACACTCACCTTCCCAGGGACGTAACATCTTGGCATCTGGACTAAACTGGAAAAAGGTACTCAAATCAGAATCGAAGCATTTTTGCATGGGGGTACCTGGAATAATTACTTGTAAAAGTTATTGAACGTATTTGCGCTTTACTGTGGATACCATGAAAGATGTGTAGACCAAAACTACTGACCAATCTTTAAGTGAGGTGACTGGAGTATTCATGCTGCTCCTGCAATTTGGGACTCCTTGTGTATGTTTGATTCTTGAGGTTAGTGACACTCTGCCTCAGAAAGACAAATGAGAGACACGCTTTTACATACGTATCAGGTGACCTTAGGTCCACCTCCCCAAAAGGTCAGTCCTTAAGCAAATGATCTAAGTGTTACTTTAAAAGTTCCTGAAGTTCCGACCTGTAGAACAGGCTGGCAGCTATCCCTTGTTTCCAAGAGAGCTTAATCTGAACCGAGAATCTTCAGGTTTTGTCGTAATTACCCCTGTGTCAGGAACAAGATATTTATTTTTTGTTTTGTGTGGATTTTAACAATAGTAAAGAATCTCGACATTTAAAAAGGGGTGTATAGTTTCACAGAAATAAAATACTGCAAAGACTGCAAATAGTGACCAAAAGCACAGGGAGGAAAGAAAAAAAAAAAGGCTGCGTTTAGGTAAGTGTAAAGAAACTTTTTTCCCCCCCAAATTGTACTTAGTGAACCAACACACACTGCTAAGATGCATCTATGACATTGTTTTCTCTTAAAGGCCACTTTTTAAAAACATTTGACCTACAAGAAAAGCTGAATCCAGAGCCACTAAACAAAAAAAAACCTCATGCACTACTTTAACCATTCCTGTTTATGAGCTAGAAGTAATGCAAATTATGACTGATGTCTTAATGGACAATTACAGGAATTAAGGTAGCCAAGTCAATGAAATAGTTTCATTCGTCTCCCACCTTTCCATTTTCACTGAAATTATTTCCTAAGACAATGGGAAGACACAGCCTCTTGTTCACATGTGCTCTGTTCTCAGCTTTGCACAGCTTCAATGGTTTTCACAAACGAAAATTCTCTTTTTTGCAAAAGTCCTGTGCAGATTAAATAAAATCCTTCATCTGAGTCATGTTGGGAACTAACTGTGTTACAGCACAGCTGTGAAGGCTCTTAAGCAGAGCCAACATTATGACTGCATACGGGTGAAGCAGACAGCACCCACAGCATTTTCTCTTCACAGCAGGAGGGACACAAGCCAAACCAGTTTAATGACCTTTGGGTGTACTGAATGCTGGGGAATTCAAAATCTACGGCCAGGGCGTGGTTTTTCTGTACTGAACACGCACCTACTCTTGTCGCCAATGATGGAATCTGTTAATTTAGAACACTGGCCCAACGCCTTTGTAAGGATGCTCCTCCTTTTCACTGAGGTGTCAAAATTATTTTGCAAGGAATCCTTTCTTCTTGTCTCTAATTCAGGATTTCCACTGAAAAAATTCAGTACAACTGAAAAAATTCAGACCTTCACTTTTTAAAGAAATACCACAGTCCTATCGACCTAAGGAAATAGTTAATGAAATGGCTACAAGACTTTGTGGCAGGAGAGTGTCTTGTAAAGACACTTTTGTGCTCTACAACTTGTGGTTGTTGGACATCAAAACAACATAAAATGGCAGAAGATATTTTAAGAATAAACTTGGTTATGAATTTCTGTCTATATTTAGTTTTACACAATCACAAAAAATCATGTTTTGCTATATCTCTAAGTAACAAAAACCTGTTAAATCCATCAGAAGATCAGTCAGAGAACGAATTATCGTAAAAAAAAGTAGGTTATCCTTTCTATTACAGGGTTTTTGTAGAAAGTGGGAGTGCATCATGCAAATCAAACAGTCACTCTGTTGGCTCTGCTCAGGGACCAGTTGCTGTCTCTGTTGTCTCTGCTCAAATCACCGTTGCTCCAGACAGTACGCGTAGTTCCCAGAAAGGCTCAAGAGTACTGTACTTCATTGGTTCATATGGGACCTCAGCATAGAAAGGTTCCAGGTTTTAGGCTTCAGCACTAGAAATCCAGCACATTTTAGGAACTTTTTTTTTTGTCTTTTTTAAATAAAAAATTGAACAATAACTGTAAGATACAGCCAACATTTTTTTTAAATTATTGTTTCACAT